CGTAATCTGTACGGTACCGCACACGACAGAAATCGTCACGACCGCAATGCGCACGGTATACCCGTCGAGCCCAAGTGAACGCGACACAACGTTGAGGTCGTCGTTACAAAAAACCCAAACTACCGCTACAGCAGCACGGACAGTCTCTGATCACTGCTGTAGATGGCGCCCGCGATGGAGCTCATTGCCTTTGATCAGTCCCCATTCAGCGAGAGGGTGCGTGTCCATGAGAGCGCTGGGGTTGCGCAAGGCATTGTACCATTGTGGCAAGCCAGCGCCCATGCCGCAGGGCAGGGCATCGACGGAGCACTCCACACACACCACTCCCATAGCTACGGCGCACACACGCCACTCCAATCAAACCTTTCCCCTGCAATGCGCACCGGCAGGCCAAGTGGGCGCTAGACGTCATTGCTGACCGCGGCGGCCCGCCCCACACAACCAGCGCCTACCCCTTCAGCCCCTTTGCCGTGACCATGCTCCCCCTGCGCCTGCGCATCGGGAAGCTGCGCGGCCGCGTGACCGCCCCCATCCTGCTCACCAGTCCCGGGGCGCCCGACAACGAGGTCATTATGGACAGCACCGCCCTGGTGCGGTGGGCAGACGCGCGCGGCGGCGGCGCGGCGGGCAAGGGCGGCTCGCTGTTCCCTCCAGAGCACGAGCAGGAGCTTGAAAGGTGCGGGCTTTCGCAGGGGGCCCAAATTGCGTCCCCCCCCCCCAGGCGGACGGCGTGGGGGCGTCACCGCACAGCGCACCTGCACAGAGGGCGGCCGCGTTGAACCATTGGCGGGCGCAGCGGCGCCCATGGTGCCCTCGGGCCCTTTGATACAGTGGGCCACCGCTGCAGCTAGGGGGTGACAACACCGCGATGACACTTGTTGCTTCATAACCCAACTGACATCCTTGTTGATACCAAACGTAACCACACACACACACGCGCGCGCGCGCACACACACACACACGCACGCACGCGCGCACGCACGCACGCACGCACGCACGCACACACGCATACATACAACCGAGCATGTGCACACATACCTGCTGACGTGCTCCCGAAGGTGGGTGACCGCAGCAAACGACCTCCTGTCTCTGTTCCGTCGCGAGCTCTCCGCCGCCGGCAAGGGGGACGCCGCCGCTTGCGACGCGCTGCTTCCGCCCTACGCCGGGCAGGGCATCAAACGAGACGTGATGCGGCGGCTCATGGCAGGCGTTTTTGCGCGCCTGGAGGTCAAATTCAGGGAGGACGATGCAGGGGCGTCAGAGGAGAAGGTGAGGGGCCGGGGCAGGTTTGCAGGCATCTTCAAAGGCAGCTTCACGGGCAGCTGCACATGCTGCTGCTCGAACAGCAAAGGGGCATGGGATGGAAGGAGCGTCAGTGCATGAGTGGCTGCACGCCACAGCAGCACCACTGTTGATCGGATTCAGCCTCCTCAGTAACCCTCCTGAATCAAAGAGTTCAGCACCCACCAACGCACCCTGCACTGCTCATTCACCGCAGGCACGCGCCGACCTCACTGCCGCCCGCGAGCGGCTGGCCGGCGGCGGCGGCGGGCGCCTGCTCCTGGGGCCCGGGGCCGGCCTGACTTTTGCGGACATCGCCCTGGCCATCTCGATCTGCCAGCTGGCGATGATGCGAGAGCTGCCCCTCACCTACAAGGTGCCGCCCGGCAGCGGCTTGACTGTGGCGTCGCGGGTGCCGGCGGTGGGGCGGCTGTTGGGGGAGTTCCCTGATCTGGTGGAGTGGGCCGCGGAGACCAAAAAGAGCCACTGGCCGCAGCAGGCGGCCGCCTGACGCCCTGAGCCCGCTGGGCTGCGGCGTCGGGGCGACCCCATGCAGGGTGGCTCGGGGCCCGGACGGAGGCCGCCGGCCCTTCTCTTCAGGAATCTTCAGCACGGCAGCAGCGTTTGCTTTGATTTGAGCTGCTTGATTTGAGCTGCTTGCCAACAACTTTACGTTGCTGTGGCCACCTTTGGGCCAGCTTTGGCACCTGCGTACCCTCCCTTGCCCCCCAAGAAACGCACCCGCGCTGCAATACAGCACAAGCGCGTCATTGTGACATCACCATCTCCCCGCCGCGCGCGCTCGTTGGCAGCTGGCCGCGCGCGCGCCATATTCTTCACTTACTTGTGTGGCGCCAGCAGTGCAGTGCACACTGCACCCTGGCGAGCCCACCTCAACCAACTGCAGTGGATGATGCCCCACACGAGCCCAGCCTGTCGGAATGCATGCCGGATGAGGCCCAACAGTAAGACACCACCCCGTCATGTGCCCACGCATTACACCTACCGCCACCAAAATACCACAAACAGCGCTGCACACCCGCTCTTTCCACCTTGTAACAAAAGCCAAGCCAGGCGCGCCGGTGCACCCACCGCGCAAAGAGCTGGCCCATGCATGCGCCGGCCGGCCCCACAAACGCCGATGTGCGGCGCGGGGCCTGATCGAATGCCGTGTTGCAGGGGTTTGGGGAAGACAGGAAAGCTGGCATGTGGCGGCACACGGGGCCGCCAATCAGGGATCAGGGGGTGGGGGCTAGTGAGGGCTGACTATTCCCAGGAGCAGCTCTCTCTCAAACAGTGTTGCTGGCAGCGCGCATGAAGGGCGCTGCCCGCGCCGACGCGCGGAACAAACAGGCAGGGGGCGCGGCCGCGCACTGCAGGGCCGGGCACAGCCCCGCCGCAATCCAAGTAAGCCGAAGACCATCTCTCCCAAACCATGCACGCGCGCACACGCGCAGCAGGCACGCACACGCGTGCGCGCACAAGCAGGTGGTGCACCAACTGTTGAAACCGCTACCCTCTACCCCTGGGGCGGCGCAAAGCCGCTACCCTGGGCGGGCGGGACGCGAACCGAAGGAGTGCTCAGGGCTTGCCGAGGAGACAAAAGGGCCGCGCGGCGAACCGATACGCGCCGCGCCCCCTCCGCCGGTACCCAAACGCCCGTCGCGTCGCCCCTCGCCGCGGCCCCGCCCAAGGCCTCCCCGCTCTGTCTCTCAATCCCCCTCTCTCTGTCAAGCAAAGGCCCGCGGCCGGAAGCTCAGCAGCCGCGCGTCCGCTGCGGCGTGGCCCCACAGCCCCGCTCACTCGCCGCCGCCGGCGGCAGCCCCAGGGCCTGCGCCGCCCTCCCGGGGCAGCACAGCCAGTATCGCCCCCGCCAGCTGGTCTTTCAGCACCGGTTTTGGCAGAAAGCCGTCCATCCCGGCGGCCGCGCACTCCGCCCTGTCGCGGTCGCCCGCGTTGGCCGTCATCGCGACGATGGGCACTGAGTGGCCGGCCGCGCGGATCGCAGCGGTCGCCTCGAGCCCAGACATGACCGGCATCAGCAGGTCCATCAGCACCACGGAGAACCCGCCCTGCTGCTGCTGCTGCTGCTGCTGCTGCTGCTGCTGCTGCTGCTGCTGCTGCTGCTCCCCTTGCTGCTGCTGCTGCTGCTGCTGCTGCTGCTGCGACCGCGCCGCGGCCTCCTCCACGGCTTTCACCGCCTCTGCTCCATTGCCTGCAACGACCACGCTCATGCCCAAGCCGGCCAGCATTTTCTTTGCTACCAGCTGGTTGATGGCGTTGTCTTCCGCCAGCAGGACCGACAGCCCCGCCAGCCGCCGCACGTCCAGCGGCGCACGCGCCCGCGCGCCGCCGCCGGACAGGCCCGGCGGCGGCGCCGGAGTCGGCGACGGCGCGTGCTGCGGCGGCGGGGGC